CATTCTAAAAACAATATATACTAAGTTATACATAATCTTCCTAAAATATATTTACGTATCTAACACAACAACTAACCTAAATACAAATAAGAAAATTAATCAAAATTTAATATATTTAGAATAAAAAACATTGTAGTTGAATTTAGAAAAATAGATACAGTCCAATAAATTCATATGATAACTAAATCGACTGTAAAAAAAACAATACCAATTAGATATAATATATCTACATTCATCTGCTAAAGTACTATAGTATTATTAATATAAATTATGCATATAAATTATAAATTAAAGTAAATAGCAAGCAATTTTATAGTATTTGTTTTATAAATATTTATACCCGTGCATGAGCACGGGAAAATCACCTAGTAAGCTATTATTGTGGAAGCACATTATTTCAGTGGTTAAGATTTTAAAGTTTTTACACTTAAGTCTGGAGTTTGAATCTCAGACTATATAATTTCTTGATTATAGGATGCAAGCATTTCAGGAGTTTCAGAATATTGTATGTAGAGTTGTTTGTTGTGGTGATTTACTGTGAAGAGAGCTTGTCCATCGTAGATGTAGATGTTGTACGTGCAGAACTGTCCACTGATCCAAGTATTTTGGAGAAAGCTTCATCATGAAATCATTATGCGTAGAACTGTTTTTCAATATCAATATATGTTGTAGGTAGTTAATCATCATATGTAATAGAGTTAGAAAGTATATGATTATGTAGTGTATGCTACTAAATGTTAGAAAAAAAAGCTATTATAAGCTTAAATCATTATATATCTACCCAAATCCAACATCCTTCTTTCATGCCTTAGTCTCGCGATCATACTATGTCATTACCCTTACGGGTTTGATCTTGACATGCATCCACAGAGGATGAATAAGCAACATATTTAATGAATGAGAGCATTCATTCAGTCTCACTTAGCCAACGTAAAGCAAATGTATATAGATAATAAATCCATAAAGTCAAATATGCTTATCAACAGCCGCTTGAACGACTTAACCGTTCCAAGCCATTGTGCCATCTCACGATCCACTCACATCGATACCCCACTCTTGCAGTGATTCAAGGAGTTGTGTTGCAACTTGCATACCATTATGTGGTGGTGGTAGAGCACAAAACGTCAAAATTTTGGAGTTTAACTTCCAATTCCGATCAATGTAATGCGCAGTCACACACATATAACCCTCTCGCTTAAGAGACGTCCACAAATCAGATGTCAAGGAAACTCTTCCAGGAANTGGTAGAGCACAAAACGTCAAAATTTTGGAGTTTAACTTCCAATTCCGATCAATGTAATGCGCAGTCACACACATATAACCCTCTCGCTTAAGAGACGTCCACAAATCAGATGTCAAGGAAACTCTTCCAGGAAGACTCGATAATTCCCTCTTCAGCGTATCTCTCTCGCTTTCATACAAGCGAAACACATCAGCCTTCACCGTGTTTCGACAAATGAATTGACATCATCATTCAGATACTTCCAAGTGGCTCTCACCTTTTCATACTCCACATAGGAATATGGTAGATCATGCTGCACTATCGTCTTAGCTACCAGCTGCCTAAACACAAGATGATCATACTTGCGAGGTTGTAATTTGCCTTCACCATCGAGCTTCATCTTGCCGTTCATCCTTGTTATATTTTTGCATCTCTGCGTATGCCTTATCAACGCCGAAGTTCCATGCGAGTGGGAGCTCCAGGCATACTCATTCTTTCAGTGCTTGCATTTAGCCTTCTCCTCGCCATTGGGTTTTTGAATCACAACAAAATCATCCCAAACCTTAGACCTTTGCCTATTCTCCCTCTTATTGTCATCCAAATTTGGTTCTTCAGAATCATCACCCATGTTAATATTTTCAGATTCCAAAGCTTTCTTCTTTCCATTATTTGGAGTCGGCTTTGAAGACCTTCTTCCTCCACGTATTATAGCAACACTCGGCTTCTTCTTGCTTTGAGTAGCCTTTGAAGAGGTTGCAATTCCACTGGACATTGATGATCTGAAACTAAATTGCTTGCGAGGCTGGGAGGGTTGAGTTGGAGGATCTGTTATTTCGACATCAGTATCAACTTCATCATCATCAGAACCAACTTCTATCAGCCTCCGTTTCCGCTCTTGCTTCTTTCCACCAGAACAGAAATCCTCATCCTCAGCCTCAGCAGTAGCGTCAAGAGATGCCAGCAGTCCTTGAGTCTCAAGGTCACAGGTACTCAATGGCTTGAAATTAGGATCATAAGTAGGAGTATCACCAGTATCCAGTAGCTTGAAATTGGGATCCATCGCCTCTTCTTCTCTCAAGTTTCTTTGTTTGATTTTAGCTTACCTCACGAAATAAGTCGTGAGACTTGGAAGCCGTGAGTTTAGGTTTAATTGTTAGGGTATTTTTGTATTTTTAATTTTAATTTTAAATTTTTTGAATTATCTTATTTCCTATTGGTCAAGTTTTATAATATTTTTGTAAGTTAATTTATAACTCTACTGGCGATCAAGCAATATCAAGGTTTGCCATTCCTACTGGCGATCAAGCAATATCAAGATTCAAGAGTCCGATAACCTAGCATGATTCAATTTTCTACTACACAAGTCAGCACCAGCTAGGGCAAGTACCTTTACACACTTTGAATGTTTGTATCTTGTTGAGTACCAAACGTGGAGAGGAACTTACAAGGCAAAATGTAACACTTGTGGAACTTTGGAGTGTTGATGACAAGTGATTGCTGAGAACGACCTTCATGGTCCATATACTCTTGGCACATCCGTAGCCTCTATACATACATATAATATAAAAAACTCAGTAACGTAGACTATAGCTTGACCATACAAACTAGAGCATTAGATACCTGTTCGATGCAAGCTACTCGTAACGTAGACTATAGCTTGACCATACAAACTAGAGCATTAGATACCTTCTTCAACATCTCCCTCGCTGACTCCAAATCCACGTTTCTCTTTCTGCTGTCATTCACTTCCTTACACATCTCTTCTCTTTCCTCCAACACTTTTGATAATGCAACTTTCATGCTAGCCAATTGTTTAGCAGCTTCTTGGAGATTGGTTTCAAGCCGGTTAACGTTCTCGTCCTTCTTCACCATCTGATGTCAACATCATCATTCGAACACACTCAATGAGCTTAGTTAACTACTTATGATGTGAGTACCTGAATCTTGAGGTCTTTTAATTGGTGTGTGTTTACTGAAAGGCTGTCTAAGACGTTCTGGATTTCACGTTGGAGAACTTCGTTACCTCGTACACCTGCTGCTACTTCTGCTTGCAGCTGTTCAATCTCTTGTTCCTTGGAGTACAGTTTCTCTCTTAACAAACTCGTTACTAGAGTCTCTGCTCTCAGTTCAGATCTCAGGAGTTTCTAAAGTCAGACAAAAGGTGAAATACTTAGCACAGACAAACATGTTGAAATGAAACAGATTTTCGCTAAAACTCACCTCTACTGATTGGTTGTTTAGCTCAGTAGACCTCAATGATTCAGTGTTTAATGCATTCTCATTGGCTTTCTCAACCAACAAGATGTTGACTGTCTGCAAACTCCTCTTGAGGCTTTCAGTACCACACCGTATTCCATGGACATTCATCTCAGATACAATCAGAAACTGCTCACTCAATCCATTACACATCTCCTCAGATAACTTCTCTTTGATGAACTTCAGCAACTTGTAACATAGCTGTGTGCTCTCATTTAACATCAAAACCCCTTGGTCTTGCAAGAACTCTAAAAAAAAGTTGTTAGCTCAAGTTGTTAGTATCTAAAAAAAAGCTCGCTACTATCAGCTCAAGCTCGCTACTATCAAGTAAAAGCTCGCTACTATCAGCTCAAGTTGTTACCGTATTCTAGTAACAACTTTGTCCAAACTCCGGTGGTTGGACGAAGAAGGAGAGCAGCTCCGGTGGTTGGATGAGGAAGGAGACCAGCTCCGGTGGTGGTGGTAGATCGAGGAAGTATATCAGTGGTGGCCTTACTCGAGGAGAAGACGAAAAGGTTTGGACATCAACAGAGTACAAGGTCGATGTGTGCTCCTCTGGTGATCAACAGAGCGGACGCCGGAGGTACTGTCGGAGCTCGAGTCAAGGTCGTCAGAGCTCGAGGAGTATCGGTGGTGATATCGCCTTCTCACCATTTTTTTTTCAGGTGCCGACACAAAGAAGAAAATTAGGACAGTTTCCAAGATTACCCGCGAGGCCCGCTTCACCGCAGTGGCCCAACCGCACCAGCCCAGTCCCGCAACAGCAATACCCGCGAGGCCCGCTAATTCTCGGGTTTATAAATTTGAGGCCCAAACCCGCCCCATATGGGCCTTTTCTGAGACCAGCCCGCGGGCCGCGGTTCAAATTGCTATCCCTAGTCACACATTCACCTTTGTCTTTAGAGTCGGTTTGATTTGGTCTTTCTGACACTTCTTGTACACATTCCTCAGATCGCAAACACTCGAACGTTTCAACAATCAAGATCACCCAGCAAACGATAGTACTTGACACAGTTGGGTGGTTTTAGCATGCAACTGTCCAGTAAAAGTAGAAAACTATCAGCATGTGCTCAAATGCCTTGCCAGCACAACTTTTCTCAGATTCGGCCATTCTCGCCAATTTTACTTAAACAAAAACTCGAGCTTAAGGTTGACTACCCCAGCCGACAAGTTAAACCTCTTTGTCTGAACTGGACCATCATTTTCTGAATCAGCTCATCCCAGTTTGGCCGACAATCTTAATACTTTTTCTTGATTCCGACAATTGATGTCCAACCAACCAACTCAACCACCCTTTCCGCATCTGACAACACTTGTCTGAATTCCGACTAACACTGTTAGAAAACTGTGCATTGTCTAAATAGATGTCTTAGGCCTAATAATACAGGCTGTCACCCACTGTCATCCCAGTTTGGCCGGGGTCGTGGACTAGAGTACTATGGCATGATCCGAGCATAAGACCGCTGACCGAGCTTTGAATGGCTCAAAAATAGTTATGATCCTAGCTTTGTTCAGACCATGGTTTCATCTAGTATGATCCTATCAGACATCGATCCAACTCTTCTTCCACTTATAGTTAATCCTTTTAATTTTTGTCACACTCTTTCTAGCATCATCTAAGCCGAAAGGCTAGACTGAACGATTTAAGCAACACAGTCTTTGACCCTTCCTAGCTCCGGTCCTAGGAACACATGCACCACAATGAGCATGTTGAGATTGAGAAGCAAGAAGAAGAGACGCATCCACAAGAAGAGCAGGTGTTAGTTATGGTGGTTACAGAAACTAAAGGATCAAAGAAATACATTTTCAAATATCTAGATGATATGATAGAGAAATGGAGAATGTTTTAGCATAAGAGATCATGCAAATTTGAGTTTGTGCTGATGATACAGCGATCATGGAACAACTGAAGACAGGTCATTTGAGTTACTCTCACATGAGAATTTACGATAAGGGGATTGTTTAATAACAGAGATGCTATTTTAACTGTGTTGAACTGTTGATGTAACAGAGATGATTTAAAAGATGGAGGATCTGTCTTTCATATGGAAAATTCAATCCAAAGAGATCATTTATGTTTGAAAAGTACAACAATTATTCTTTGCCTAAACTCTCTTAAAACCTTCTCTCTTCGCATTTGGGTACTTGTAGTAGACTTCATCAAAAGTCCTCTTTGCAAGCTGATAAATTATACGGAAACATCAGTTACCAGTCTAATGAAATACAAACGTCTTAAAAGGCTGAAAAACAAACACAATCTCTCTCCAAGAAACTGAGCCAAAATAGGGGAGAAAATCAAGAGGGCCTCTAGTTCCTAGGTTTTTCTGGGAAAGGTAGAGTTTTGTACATAAACGGTAGCTTCAGTGATCTTCTGGCTAACTCATCACACATCATCAATGCAAGCTGGGAGTATAAGACCAACAATTAATGATTCCTTTCATTAAATTCTCTAGAAAATTAACTCAGATGCAATAATAACCAACAAGAAAAGAAGACACTCGATTGTAAGGAGGGAACATTTTTTCTCTTAAGAAGAAGATATCTGAAGGTTTTGAAACAGAATGCAGCATCGAACGTTGTTCGGTTTAACTAATCTATTTCTTAATAAGTTTATTTGCAGGAAAGCCCACATCTTTGGCTTCATTTTGTCTTGGTAAATTTCTTCTGTCAGCCTACAGCATTAGAAAAACTAGACCAATTGAGGGTGCCATGTCAAGCAGAAAGACAACAACGACAATTGATCCAGTTTTTCACACATTGTAACCAGAAAAAGTTCTAAACTGCAAACCTAACCAATACAGCGATCTATGCGCACATAAATGCTAATAAGACTGATCATCAAACAAAGAATATATGCCCTCATTTAGCAGAGATTCATTCAGGCAGCACCAAAAAAAGGGGAAAGGAAGAGAGAGGAAGTGTACCGTCAGAGAGCCAGCCGTAGGAATGTCCAGAGATAGAAAGCATAGAAGTCATTAGCGCAGAAGCAGTGGCAGTGTGGTATGGTAACATTGACTCCACACAGAAGCTCATCTCCACAGGATTTCTACCATCATCACATCAAATTAGAAGTTATTAAGTAACGAATAAAAAAAGTTTTTTTCTCATTAAAATTCACATCAATCAGGGAGGGTAGGTCCAAAGTTTGATCTTTCTACTGCTTAAAAATCGATCGATCTAGGAATTGAGACTTAATCACAAAAGAAAAAACCGAAAGTTCTTCTTTGCTAAAATTCGATCGAAATGTAGTGTTTTCCAAGGTTCAAGATCACGCATGAAATTAATCAGTTCAAAGATATAACTTCGGAAAGTCCAATACAAAAGTAATTCAGATCAAATCAGGAATAAATAGAGACTAACCGGAGAGGTGAGAGCAGTGAGCTTCTTCTAGCGGTGGCTCTAAACATCGGCGGAACTGATTTCGCTTGAGAGGCTGTGAAACGGCCAGTGGAAGCAGCAGCGGCTCCCCGAGACGATGCAGCTCGAAGCATCGATCTAGCGACGGCGGAGGCGGCCATCGAGAGAGAATGTGAAGCAGAGATTGGTGGAGGTGAGAATCGATGGCTTCCAAAGACAGATTACGGGAACTGATAAACCCTATAAATCCTACTGCTGCTGGTCAATCTCTAAAGACGTGCGTATACGTAGTTGGAAACTAAGGCCCAGTAAAATATTCCAGCCCATTTTTAGTTTCTAGCCCGTTTTAATTTTCTGAGCCTACTTTTCACCAAATAGCTAGTTGCAAAACCAAGACATTGATCAAGCGTAGATTGTTTCCGACTTTTTAAAATTAAAATTTTCGATTCTACCACAAATTTGATAACATTTTTCAAATGTAATATTAATAAATAATTATTTTCATAAATATTTTAAATTTATAATAAATTAACATAAAATTATTTTTTACATATTTATAGAACATTTATAAAAACTATTTTGGTTTTTGTTTTATTTTTAATGGGTTTTGGTTTTTTTTTTTAAAGTATTTTATTTTGGGCAATTGTTTCAAATAGACTCTTTTAATTTTTTATCATAAAAATAGAGCTCAAAAATAAAATGACCAAAATAGTATTATTTATTCTGAAAATTTAAATGTTTTAAATTTTTAAATTTGAAATCATATCCCCTAAACCCACTCCTCAACTCTAAACAAAAAAGGTATAGGATTAGTTCATCCAAAGGGTATAAGTCTATTTTGATCATTTTAATTTTTAAGATATATATATTTGTGACAAAAAAATTAAATCTATCCTAAAGAATTTCTATTTTTTTTTTTCAGATCAAGATTTTGGAAAAATAGATCTCTTCAAGTTCAAAGAAACTACTTATAGTAATAATTGCCTAAATCTAAAGAAAAGTAAAAAAAACCCTGTTTTCTTAATTTCTAGCAATATTTGATGTTGGTTTTTATTTTTATTTTTTTCAGAAATCTTTATATAATAGCAATTTTTCTTCTATTATTTTAGTACTCATTCTCCTCCTGACTTATATCCATTCACCAATTCCTATATTACAATTCATATACGTTTTAAAATATAATAAAAATTAATTTACATGTAATTCACCAATTATTTGTGTTCACTGAGAAATAAGAACATTGACAGTAAATTTACATATAATAAGACTTGTCTAAGTTAATTTAAATTTATATCAAGAACATTTTTTAAAACCCTATAAATCCTACTGCTGCTGGTCAATCTCTAAAGACGTGCGTATACGTAGTTGAAACTAGAAGGCTCAATTATATATTCCAGCCCATTTTTAGTTTCTTGCCCGTTTTAATATTCTGAGCCTACTTTTCACCAAATAGCTAGTAGCAAAACCACATTGCAAAACTAAGACACTGATCAAGCGTAGATTGTTTCCGGTTTTTTAAATTAAAATTTTGATTCTACCACAAAATTTGATATCATTTTTCAACTTTACTATTAAAAATTATTATTTTCAAAAAATATTTTAAATTTATGAAAAATTAACATAAAATTATTTTTTAAAAATATTTATAGAACATTTATAAAAACCATTTTGGTTTTTGTTTTTGTTTTTAATGGGTTTTGGTTTTTCTTTCAAAAACAAAATGACCAAAATAGCATTTTTTATTTTGAAAATTTTAAACTTTTTTTAACTTTTTAAAATTTGAAATCATATCCACAAAATCTCACTCTTCAACTCTAAACAAAAAAAGTCTAGAATTAGTTAACCCAAATGGTATAAATGTATACTTATTTATTTTTGATAAAATATTTATGTTTATTTTGGTCATTTTAATTTTAAAGTATATATTTGTGACAAAAGTTTTTTTAGATCTATCCTAGAAAATTACTATTTTATTTTTCAAATCAAAATTTTGGAAATATCAATACTATTAAACTAGAAACATGTCCTATTGATAATTGTTGAGTCCAATTGAAAAAAATACTTGGCATCTAAACTGTTTATATGACTTTGAATTATACATATAACTACTTAAATTGACATGTTTTACTTTATACAACTATTGTGGTCACTATTATCTTTGGTTGGGAGATGATATAAATTTGGGCTTTAGACCTTATAATATCACGATTCTTTTATGTAAACACTATTGGTTTTTAAAAACTCAAGTGGTCCTTTTCAACTATAGTGGACCAAAATTAACAAAATCCATTCATCAATTTCTAAATATTAATATGTGTAACTATAACATTGTTATAATCATATATGAAATCAAATAATGAAAACTTAATTAAAAATATAATTTTATTTATTTAATTACCATGAGTATACAAAAAAAGTGTAGCTATACTTTGTTATTTAAAAAAAATTCATTAATAACTGCTTACGAATAAATTACAAAATAAATGTGTGAAATGACTATAGTACATATATAATATATCCAACATAATAAATTCAATTAAATTATCAAAACCTCATACTAGAGAGTGACTAAAAAAATTAAACCCTAATATAATTACAAAAAAATACTAAATATCTTTATAAAGAAAAAAAATAAAAGTATGAAAATAATTTTCTTAAAAATAAAGTAAAATAAATAATATACCCGCTCTTTCAAGAGCGGATCAAAATCTAGTAGATCTCTTAAAGTTCAAAGAAATTACTTATAGTAATAATTACCTAAATCTAAACAATAACAAAAAAAAAAAACAAAAAACCATGTTTTCTTAATTTCTAGCAATATTTGATGTTGGTTTTTCTTTATTTTTTTCAGAAATCTTTATATTAATAGCAATTTTCATATATTATTTTAGTACTCATTCTCCTCCTAACTTATATCTATTCACCGATTCCTATATTACAATTCATATACTTTTTAAAAATATAATAAAATGAATTTACATGTAATTCACCAATTATTTGTGTTCACTGAGAAATAAGACCATTGACAATAAACTTAAATATAATAAGACTTGTCTAAGTTAGTTTAATTTAAATTGATATCAAGAACATTTTTAAAAAACTTATTGATAAAATTAACTTAACTATTAGAATTTACCTCTTGTAAAATTTACATACATATTTTCTTAATACTATATTAGTATTATTTTATTTAAAATTGTCTACATTTAAAAAAAAAACTTATAAATCAAGTATTTAAAAATAGCAGTAGATAGATTAAAAACCATTAATCACATTTTTAAAAAAAATAATCTAAAAAAAAATCAAAATTCAAAAACTAAAATCTACTATAAAAAACAAAAACTAAAAATGAAAAAACAAATCTAAAAATTAAAAACTAAAAACCCATAAACCATGTAAACATTCATAACTCTAACTAAAGATATTAAGACGCCTGATTAGGTTTTCAACTGGCTTTAAATTATGTGGTATATAAAGTATTTTACTAAAATAAATTTTGGATCAGAATTTTCTATGGATTTAGTTTATTTGGATCATGAATTTGACATAATAAAACTAATTCCAATGTAAAATCAATTTTATTTGAAAATTTACTGAATTGTTTGGTGGACAGATTTTTTTTTTTAAAAAAGCCATCTAGTTGATTCAGGCAGGCGCATCTGCGGACTTGCACGTACAACAGAAAACAGACTAGGAAAATATAAATTGGAGTGTTATACAAAGATAACCGAGATAGAACATCTTTTATAAGAAACAAAAAGGCCCTAAAACCATGACAACATAGGAAGCAACGCATGAAAAAACTACTGAGAATGCAGCTTTGTTTATTGTCTCGCCAGCTCATGAGTTTTTCACTCTTCTCTGTAGTCTGGGTTCTCCTTTAAAATGATGAACCCTTCTAGTATCGGCGACAGAGGAATGTACCTGTTTCCCCATTTACAATCCCAGTTTATATATCATCAGACGCAAAAGATTTCATATCAAAACAAAAGGGTATAAGAGAAGAACCAACATACTTGTCCGTTGCTAGCTCGGCTCTCTCACCAGCAGCCAAGAGAACAGGTGTGGAGTGTGTCTGGAATCCGGTTAAAGTCTTGGGTCGACCCGCTTGCCCAACCACATCAACTGCTTGTCCTACCCTCACTGGCACTGACAATGGCTTCAGATCTTTGTCCACTGTCAACATCATCCTCGGCTACAAATATTTTTTTTTATAAAGAAAAACTTGGATCAAAATCAATCCTATCAAAAAGATCACCAGACCTATAAATTAAACATCAGACTCAAATTGAACTCACTTGCATCGCCAAAACGAGGAAGTAGAGCACATAATGATATTTCCCGAGTATGATTGGCTTCATGTCCAGACATGCCTGCAAGAGTGTCACTATACCAGCAAGTGCGGTTCTGCCATGAATAAGGTTCCCATGAGCAGGGTAAGAGATTCACATGACACTTTGAATAAGCTCGAGCTATATGGCATGGAAATAAAGAGAATGGCCAACTTACGGTGATAGCAAGAATCGTTCAGAGTGGAAAGGGGTGAGTGTTAAGAGACCCTTTCCCATGTGCACCAGCCCTTGAGCAATACGCACCTGCACAATGACTTGCCAAGTGAGTACAATAATTTCAACAAGAAGCCGAGGCTTAAAATGAGCTGTTCTAGGAACACATTACACAAAAGAGAAGACTGGTGTCCTTGTAATAATAGCTTGAGAGGTTTCGGAGCATCCGGCTAGCCTTGCGTTATTAGTTCCATGTGGGAACCGAAATCCACCTATTGTCAATAAATCGTAAAAAAGGAAACTTCGGGAAAACCCTAAGTAACGACAAGTAACCAAGAACGCGATTAATATGAATAAATTGAAAGATATAAAAAGAAAAACGAGATTGAGAGCAAGAAGGATTCTTATTCCGAATTCGTGTAAGAACGGTTACAACGAGAGTTGCCTTAGATGCGTGAGCCGTCGGTGAAATTCCTAGTTCTAACAATCTAAGACAAAACCCTAGTTGAGACGCAGCTCGATAACGAAAACGGAAAATTTCCTAAATGCTAATTTTGATGGTGAGAGCTCTGAAAATCGTGTCCCTTCTCTTCCTTGCGACTCTGGCTTATATACCCCTTTCCCAAGCGACTCAATCTTTCCATTTTGCCCGGATC